TAGGAAATGCACAGGTCTGAACGCAGCCTTAGCGATCCGAGCGCTAAAAAAAAAAGCGCAAGCGTGAACGAGCCTGAAGTGGAAATCATGTTTTTGCCCCGAGCGCTATGTAAAACGCATGAATCGGGTCCTAGGAGCCTGGAGCAGACAGACGCACGCGTCTTCTCCCGGCCGATCGAACATCGTCACCGCAGCTCTTTCCTCGTCCTGCAGCTCTTTCCTCGTCCTGCAGCTCTTTCCTCGTCACCGCAGCTCTTTCCTCGTCACCGCAGCTCTTTCCTCGTCCTGCAGCTCTTTCTTTCCTCGTCCTGCAGCTCTTTCCTCGTCCTGCAGCTCTTTCCTCGTCCTGCAGCTCTTTCCTCGTCCTGCAGCTCTTTCTTTCCTCGTCCTGCAGCTCTTTCTTTCCTCGTCACCTGCAGCTCTTTCCTCGTCACCGCAGCTCTTTCCTCGTCACCGCAGCTCTTTCCTCGTCCTGCAGCTCGTTCACTTTCACGTATTTTTAGCACATAGGCGATAACGTTTTATTTATCTCCAACCTGCGAACCAGAATCATCACCGCGTTTAATCAGCCATAGAGCGTACAACCGTGTCCGCAGAGCAGAACTGCGCAGAAATCCGCGGACGATCGGTGCCGCGCCGCCGACAGGTAATTAGTATTACTAATAATATTTTACACCCAGCAGAGCGTTGAGGTTCGTTGCGAGGGGCCGCGGACAGTAATCTATGCATAGAAACGTTCGCATCGCTGTAATTAGTTCGGCCCGCATGGCGACATTTTCCCGTCGCGTTATGAAATGCTCCCATTTTCTGAGCGATATGTAACCGCGGGCCTCATTCATCAGTGTCTGAATGATCGACTGCCTGTGACGCTCACGGCAGCACATTTCCCATAGCGTTCCCGAATCGCCTTTTTTTGTTGTTGTTGCGCAAGTCACGCGCTTCCGTTCGTTTCGATGGGCTGCAATGTGTGCGTTTGTCGCGCCAAAGAAGCTCGGGGACCACATTTTGAGTCAAAATTTTCACGTGTGTTTCGCACCAGTTTTCACGCAGTTTAATTTTGCGCCACAATTGCAGCGAAATCATGCAGCGTTTGGGGCGCCATTAAGAAATAGACCACACCCAAATGCGCGTCACAAGTTTTGCTGGAAATGGTGATTCCAAATTGCTCAGATGTGAACGGGCCTTAGGTAGCCCTTATGGAGGTTCCTGGACACACTTGCACCCATGTGCTTTTGCCCTTATGGTCCTGTGTTGCCTGACTGCCAGCATCCTAGCAACCAATGACCCTGAGCTGCCCTGTTGCCTGCATCCTAGCAACCAATGACCATGAGTGGCCCCATCGCCTACATTGTAGCAATGCACTGTACTGTTGCCTGCATCCTAGTGGCTAATGAATCGCAGCAGCCCTTATGCCTGCATCCCAGCAACCAATGACCCTGTGAGGCCCCGCTGTCTGCATCCTAGTAACCAATGAATCTGAGCAGCCCTTATGCCAGCATCCTAGCAACCAATGACCCTGTGAGGCCCCGTTGTCTGCATCCTAGTAACCAATGAATCTGAGCAGCCCTTATTTTTGCATCCCAGCAACCAATGACCCAGTAAGGCCCCACTGTCTGCATCCTAGTAACCAATGAATCTGAGCAGCCCTTATGCCTGCATCCTAGCAACCAATGACCCTGAGCAGCCCTGTTGCCTGCATCCTAGCAACCAATGACCATGTGTGGCCCCATTGCCTACATTGTAGGAATGCACTGCACTGTTGCCTGCATCCTAGTGGCTAATGAATCTGAGCAGCCCTTAAGTTTGCATCTCAACAACTAATGACCCTGTGCGGCCCCGCTGCCTGCATCCTAGTAACCAATGAATCTGAGCAGCCCTTATGTCTGCATCCCAGCAACCAATGACCCTGTGAGGCCCCACTGCCTGCATCCTAGTAACCATTGAATCTGAGCAGCCCTGTTGCCTGCATCCTAGCAACCAATGACCATGTGTGGCCCCATCACCTACATTGTAGCAGCTAAGACAGCTGAGCAGCCTAGCCATCATAGACCTATATCCTGATTGTAGATAATTGTTGTCTATGGGCAGTTGTATGATGCAGGTTTTACGGAGGTTCCTGGATGCGCCATGCACGCTTGCGGCCATGTGATTGTACCCTTATGATCTTGTGAGGTCTGGCTGCCAGCATCCTAGCAACCAATGACCCTGTGAGGCCCCGTTGCCTGTATCCTAGTAACCAATCAGGGGCGGACTGACAACTCATGGGGTCCCTGGGAAATAGAGGGGATCATGGGGCCCCTGTGTCCTTGCCCAAACTCAAAAAAGCCTATGAAAAAGGTACCAGGGGCATTTCATGGGGCCCCCTACTGACCCGAGTTTCCAAATGGTCAGTCCGCCCCTGTAACCAATGAATCTGAGCAGCCCTTATGTGTGGTCCCGTGTGAATGTGCCCTTATGATCCTGTGTGGTGTGGCGCCAGCATCCTAGCAACTAATGACCCTGAGCAGTCCTGTTGCCTGCATCCTAGCAACCAATAACCCTGCGTGGCCCCATTGTTTACACTGTAGCAATAAAGGATGCTGTGCGGCCCAGCCGCCTTAGATCTATGCCTTCAATGCAGACAATTGCTGTCTATGGGGGGCTGTATGATGTGATCATGAAGTTCTGGACACCCATGCACACCTGTGGCCTCTTGCACATGGCCTTATGATCCTGTGTGGTTTGGCCGCCAGCATCCTAGCAACCAATGTCCCCATGTGGCCCTGTTGTCTACACTGTAGCAATAAAGGATGCTGTGCAGCCCAATTCTGTAGGTCTGTGCTCCAAAAGCAGACAATTGATGTCTTTGGGGGCTGTATGATGTGACCATGAGGTTCTGGACACCCATGCACACCTGTGGCTTCTTGCACATGGCCTTATGATCCTGTGTGGTCTGACCGCCAGCATCCTAGCAACCAATGACTCTGTGTGGCCCTGTCACCTAGATTTCAGCAACCATGGATGCTGTGCAGCCCAATTCTGTAGGTCTATACCCCAAACACAGACAATTGATGTCTATGGGGGGCTGTATGATGTGACCATGAGGTTCTGGACACCCAAGCACACCTGTGGCCTCTTGCACATGGCCTTATGATCCTGTGTGGTCTGACCGCCAGCATTCTAGCAACCAATGGCCCCGTTGTCTACACTGTAGCAATAAAGGATGCTGTAGGTCTATGCCCCAAACGCAGACAATTGCTGTCTATGGGGGGCTGTATGATGCAGCCTTTAGGAGGGTTCAGGACCCCCATGTACACTCGCAGCCATGCTCATGCGCCCTTAGTAAGTGTTGCCAAGCTGTTGGGGATCTTTAAAGCCGTGAATCAACCTCCTGTTCTTGCCACCAGTGTGAACGACGTTCTCTCTCCTCCTCTTCAAGCTCTGATATCTATCCTGGTAGGAATTAATTTTCTCTCTTCATCATAACACTCTCTGACAACTCTATAGAGATTGTGGTGGGGGGGAGGGGGGAGGGGCAGTGGAGATCCTCTATTTCAGCTCCAGTCTGAGAAATTCCCTATAAACGTATATTTACCGCCGCGCATCGTCTATTGGTAAACAATCGGCGTCCTCGGGGACCCGTTCATATAAACAGACTGTCATCGGTAAGTGTCAAAATGTGCAGAAAAACAATAGCTGTCAGGGAACGGCGAATTCCTTCATGACAGCGGGAATTTAAATCGCTTCGCAACAACCGCAGAATTCATTTTCAGAGGACTCTCGTTTACAAATTAGCCGCGGGTCACTTTTCTTTCTTACACAATTACAACTTTTTTATTTTTTTTCCTATCCTTTAATGTCCCCCGGGTGGTCCGGTCAATAGCCCACTTCCTGTCCTAGGGTGGATACCCTCACACCGACACCGTATCTATGGAGGAGCGAGGTAGATACCCGCGAACAGCCGCAGTGTAGGCGCATTCCCTTCCCTACCCAACGCACGGGTTCCCTCACCCAAGATGGCTGCCGAAGTCTCACGAGAGTTCAATGTCCAGTCAGACCACGTTCCTTTCCCTACCCAACGCACGACAGAAGCGCGACAAAATGACTTTGGGTCACCTTATTTAAAAGGTTCCCTCACCCAAGATGGCTGCCGAAGTCTCACGAGAGTTCAATGTCCAGTCAGACCACGTTCCTTTCCCTACCCAACGCACGACAGAAGCGCGACAAAATGACTTTGGGTCACCTTATTTAAAAGGGTTCCCTCACCCAAGATGGCTGCCGAAGTCTCACGAGAGTTCAATGTCCAGTCAGACCACGTTCCTTTCCCTACCCAACCACGACAGAAGCGCGACAAAATGACTTTGGGTCACCTTATTTAAAAGGTTCCCTCACCCAAGATGGCCGCCGAACCCGAAGTCTCACGAGAGTTCAATGTCCAATCAGACTACGTTCCTTTCCCTACCGAACGCATGACAGAAGCGCCACAAAATGACTTTGGGCCACCTTATTTAAAAGGTTCCCACACCCAAGATGGCTGCCGAAGTCTCACGAGAGTTCAATGTCCAATCAGACGACTTTTCACTCTGAAGACTCCATACGGAAGCTCTACATGACCAGGACCAAGGGGGCACTCTGATGGGGATACCTAATGTAAGGGGGCACTCTGATGGGGACACCTGATGTAAGGAGGCACTCTGATGGGGACACTTAATGTACGGGGGCACACTGATGGGGACACCTGATGTAAGGGGGCACTCTGATGGGGACACCTGATGTAAGGGGGCACTCTGATGGGGACACCTGATGTAAGGGGGCACACTGATGGGGACACTTAATGTACGGGGGCACACTAATGGGGACATCTGATGTAAGGGGGCACACTGATGGGGACACCTGATGTAAGGGGGCACACTGATGTGGGGACACCTGATGTAAGGGGGCACTCTGATGGGGGACACCTGATGTAAGGGGGCACACTGATGGGAACACTTAATGTACCGGGGCACAATGATGGGGACATCTGATGTAAGGGGGCACACTGATGGGGACATCTGATGTAAGGGGGCACACTGATGGGGACACCTGATGTAAGGGGGCACACTGATTGGGACACCTGATGTAAGGGGGCACTTTGATGGGGACACCAGGTGTAAGGGGGCACTCTGATGGGAACACCTGATGTAAGAGGCCACCTAATGGGGACATTTGATGTAAGGGGGCACACTGATAGGGACACCTGATGTAAGAGGCCACCTAATGAGGGCACTTGATGTATGGGGGCACTCTGATGGGGGCCCCTGATGTAATGGAGAAGTCTAATGGGGACACCGGATGTATGGGGGCACTCTGATAGGAACACTTGATATAACAGGGCACTATGATGCAGACACCTGATGTAAGAGACCACCTAATGAGGACACTTGATGTACGGGGGCACTATGATAGGGACACCCGATATAAGGGGCACTATGATGGGGACACCCGTTATAAGGGGCACTATGATGGGGACACCCAATATAAGGGGCACTATGATGTTGACACCCGTTATAAGGGGCACTATGATGGGGACACCCGATATAAGGGGCACTATGATGGGGACACATGATATAAGGGGCACTATGATGGGGACACCCGATATAAGGGGCACTATGATAGGGACACCCGATATAAGGGGCGCTATGATGGGGACACCCGATATAAGGGGCACTATGATGGGGACAGCTGATATAAGGGGCACTATGATGGGGACACCCGTTATAAGGGGCACTATGATGGGGACACCCGTTATAAGGGGCACTATGATGGGGACACCCGATATAAGGGGCACTATGATGGGGACATCCGTTATAAGGGGCACTATGATGGGGACACCCGATATAAGGGGCACTATGATGGGGACACATGATATAAGGGGCACTATGATGGGGACACCCAATATAAGGGGCACTATGATGTTGACACCCGTTATAAGGGGCACTATGATGGGGACACCCGATATAAGGGGCACTATGATGGGGACACATGATATAAGGGGCACTATGATGGGGACACCCGATATAAGGGGCACTATGATGGGGACACCCGATATAAGGGGCGCTATGATGGGGACACCCGATATAAGGGGCACTATGATGGGGACACCCGATATAAGGGGCACTATGATGGGGACACACACGATATAAGGGTCACTATGATGGGGACAGCTGATATAAGGGGCACTATGATGGGGACACCTGATATAAGGGGCACTATGATGAGTTCAAACTGTCCACCTTTTTATTGCAGTTACAGACAACACGTCTTACTGAACTGCCGTGGGAATTGTCCCTCGCTTACTCTCTGATGGACATCCTGTGTACACAAGGATCTGACACACGGCACACGAGATTCGGACCTCGGCTGGAAGAACTCCGGAGCTCCTGGACCTTCGATCCAACACCCCATCCCTGGACGCCTGGTACTGGACCTGATTCCTCGGCTGCGTAATCTCTCGTTTACCACCACAAGCCATAAACTCCCGGCGTGTTCCAAGCGACATATTTCTATTACCGAAAGTCCTGGAAGTTAACGACCCTTCATCCAATAAACGAACAATAAACGTCTTTTCTCCTAAATAACTCTAAGCCGCGCTAATTGACGCGGTAACGTTGGCGGTCTCGCGGAAACGCCAATCAACCGCCGTAAGCCGCTGTTCTCAAATTCCCGAATGAGCTCTGAAATAAAAGAAGGAACGCCGGCATATCGCTTATCGCAATTATTATTTTCTTTCTTTTTTTTTTTTTTTAATAAAACATCTCAACCGAGTTCTTTTTTTTTTGTCAAGCTTTATCGTTCCCTCTCATCTTGTTTTCCTCCTTATTATCAGAGGTTGACGAATGGTTCCAAAAACAAAAGGAGCCGAGGAGCGAACTCCATCCGAACGCGGACCCGCGCCGCGAGATCTGACTCCGAGATGTGAAGGAGAACAATATCATGTGAAAGTGCGTCATGTAATCTAGCCGTGTACAGGCCGTCCCCGAGCGCTCGCCTCTCCCGCATCAAACGGCGCCTTTCAAACGCCGCGTGGTAGACGGATTTGGCATCCGGTACAAAGACGCAACACGCAGGGGGGGGGGGAGTGAGCTGCGTCAGTCAGGAGAGTTCGGTGTTTTCAGATGCCGAAGGAAGGTCCCGTCAGATCAATAAAGTTTTTTGCTTTAGCGGCGGCGGCAGCGCATGTTAATGAGGCTTTGCAGCGGGCGCCCAAGGAATAACGGCGAAGTACGGATTTCTATGTTAATTAAGTGCCGTGTTCGGATCGCCGCCGCCGCGCTGAACCTCGCTTCGTACGCTAATTCCCCGCTCTTGAATGCGGTTAGCCGAGACGGCACGCGGGATCTGCCGCGTCCTCTGAATGTCGAAGGAGCAGCCATTTTCTTTTTCAGGGCGCACAGACAGTCACAGGGACGCAGAAGTTGGCTGCGCGGCGTCAGTTCCACGCTGGCTGGGCATTTTTGCGGCCAAAAACAAAACGAGCCGAAGAGCGATCTCCATCCGAACGCGGACCCGCGCCGCGAGATCTGACTCCGAGATGTGAAGGAGAACAATATCATTTGAAAGTGCGTCATGTAATCTAGCCGCGTACAGGCCGTCCCCGAGCGCTCGCCTCTCCCGCATCAAACGGCGCCTTTCAAACGCGCGCGCAGTCGCGGGTTTTGGCATCCGGTTCAAAGACGCAACCTGCTGGGGGGGGAGTGAGCTGCATCAGTCAGAAAAAAGTGGTGTTTGGTGTTTTCAGACGCCGAAGGAAGGTCCCATCAGATCAATAATGTTTTTTTTTTTTAGCGGCGGCGGCGGCGGCGGCACATGTTAATGAGGCTTTGCAGCGGGCGCCCAAGTACGGATTTCTCTGTTAATTAACTGCCGTGTTCGGATCGCCGCCGCGCTGAACCTCGCTTCGTACGCTAATTCCCCGCTCTTGAATGCGGTTAGCCAAGACGGCCTGCGGGATCTGACGCGTCCTCTGAATGGCGATGGAACAGACTTTTTGTTTTCAGGGCGCACAGACAGTCAGGGACGCAGAAGTTGGCTGCGCGGCGTCAGTCCCACGCTGGCCGGGACATTTTTGCAGCCCGTTGCAAATTGCAGAAGTCTTCTCCAAAGGAGTTCCCGCAGCTTTTTACGCGGGGATTGTCGCACAGGTTCAGGAAATGCATTAACTGTGATGATCACAGCAGGACGAACGTAAAGTGAATAGATGGGACTCATGAGCCTGTGTCTCTGCCACTCTGCTCTCTCCTCCTGTCAGCAAGCTGTTTACACTGCAGAACACCTGATTGGCTCCTTGTGCAGCTTCTCCCGCCCCCCTCTGAGCTCTGCTGTACAGTAGACTGATACAAAGACAAATGCAGATCTGTACACTGATTGGCTCACTGTGCAGCTTCTCCCGCCCCCTCTGAGCTCTGCTGTACAGTAAATGGATACGAAGCCAAATTCAGGTCTGTTCATTGATTGGCTCTTTGTACAGCTTCCCCCACCCCCTGTCTGAGCTCTGCTGTACAGTAGATGGATACAAAGCCATATTCAGGTCTGTTCACTGATTGGCTCCCTGTGCAGCCTCTCCCGCCCCCCCGTCTAAGCTCTACTGTACAGTAGATGGATACAAAGCCATATTCAGGTCTGTTCACTGACTGGCTCCCTGTGCAGCTTCTCCCGCCCCCGGTCTGAGCTCTGCTGTACAGTAGATGGATACAAAGCCATATTCAGGTCTGTTCACTGACTGGCTCCCTGTGCAGCTTCTCCCCGCCCCGGTCTGAGCTCTGCTGTACAGTAATGGATACAAAGCCATATTCAGGTCTGATCACTGATTGGCTCCCTGTGCAGCTTCTCCCGCCCGCCCCCCCATCTTAGCTCTGCTGTACAGTAATGGATATGAAGCCATACTCAGATCTGTACACTGATTGGCTCCCTGTGCAGCTTCTCCCGCCCCCCCCCCCCCCCCCCCCCCCGTCTGAGCTCTGCTGTACAGTAATGGGTACAAAGCCATATTCAGGTCTGTTCACTGATTGGCTCCCTGTGCAGCTTCTCCCGCCCCCCCATCTTAGCTCTGCTGTACAGTAATGGATACGAAGCCATACTGAGATCTGTACACTGATTGGCTCCCTGTGCAGCTTCTCCCGCCCCCCCCCCCTCCTGTCTGAGCTCTGCTGTACAGTAATGGGTACAAAGCCATATTCAGGTCTGTTCACTGATTGGCTCCCTGTGCAGCTTCTCCTGCCCTCCGTCAAAACTCTGCTGTACAGTAATGGATACAAAGCCATATTCAGGTCTTTACACTGATTCGCTCCCTGTGCAGCTTCCCTGCCCACCGTCTGAGCTCTGCTGCACAGTAATGGATATTCAGTAATGAATATTCAACATTTGTTGCAATAAAAGGGATACAATTAATGATGTAATAAAGCCGCCAGAGCTGCGATCATTTCTGCCTTTTATCCCTCCCCGGAGCTCAGCTTCACTCCTCTCCCGTTTCTTTTCTCTCTCCTTCCTCAGTCAGTTCACCATATTTTGGGCTCAGAAGACAGAAATGTTCGGTTTCACGCTGTAAATCAATCGATCGTCGGGCGGCTCGCGGCTCACACACATAAAGGTCAAGGGAAGAAAGAGACATTACAGGAATCCCGTATTCACAATATTCGCCGTCTCTTCATCGCTCGCTCCCTTTTCATTGTCCTCGTCTTCCCATTCACACATGACATTCAGAACCCGCCATTATGGAGGCAAATCCTTTGTGTCGCTTTTCAGTGACATTTGATTGGAATCCCCGCGGATCCGGTAAGACAAGGAAGCCGAAAACTCATTCCACCGCCGGGAATTGGACTGTAGATCAGGCGACATTGCGGACAACCTCGCCGGTGGAGGAGAGGCGCCGGAAACTGATCATGGATAATCGACTCCCTAGAATCTAGGACAGTGGTCTCCAGAACTGCGGCCCGGGGGTCAGATGGGCCCCTTTGCTTGCCTTTATCTGGCCCTTGGGGCACTATTTCAACCAGTGACACCAATGGGACATAATTCCCCCACTGACACCAGTGAAGGGGCACAACTCCTTCCACTGAAACCAATGAAGGGGGCACAATGAAGGGGCACCCCTCCTCCCACTGACACCAATGAAGGGGCACAACTCCTCCCACTGACACCAATGAAGGGGCACAATTCCTCCCACTGACACCAATGAAGGGGCACAATTCCTCACAATGACATCAATGAAGCAGCACTATTCCTCCCACTGACACCAATGATGGGACACTATTCCTCCCACTGACACCAATGAAAGGGGCACAATTCCTCCCACTGACACCAACGAAAGGACAAAATCTCTCCCAATGACACCAAAAATGGGGCCTTGTAACACCAATGAAGGGGCACAATTCATCCCAATGACACCAATGAAGGGGCACAATTCCTCCCAATGACACCAACAATGGGACACAATTCCTCCCAATGACACCAATGATGGGGCACAATTCCTCCCAATGACACCAACAAAGGGACAAAATCTCTCCCAATGACACCAAAAATGGGGCCCTGTGACACCAATGATGGGGCACAGTTCCTCCCAATGACACCAACAATGGAACACAATTTCTTCCAATGACACCAATGATAGGACACAATTTCTTACAATGACACCAAAAAAATGAGGCCTTGTGACACCAATGATGGGGCACAATTCTTCTCCCAATGACACCAACAATGTGTTGGGAATGCAACAGCATGTACTATATTGTACTATATAGTATTTCTGTGTTAATATCACTTGACCAGTAGATGGCACTATACACTAAAGGTTACTAGTTGTGTATATCTGAAAACTTGTTTGTTCTTCTTCTCTATCATCTCTTCAGGAAGTAATGTGTCTGTTATACAGTCTGATGAAAATGTGCTCTATATGTTTGTAACTTAAGCCACACAAGTAAAGCCTGAATTCTGCTATCACTACCAGTGTCTTCTATAACACATAACCAACACAATGAGGCCTTGTGACACCAATGAAGAGGCACAATTCATCCCAATGACACCAATGAAGAGGCACAATTCCTCCCAATGACACCAACAATGGGACACAAATTTATCCCAATGACATCAATGAAGGGGCGCAATTCCTCCCAATGACACCAACAAACGGACAAAATTCTCACCCCAAATGACACCAAAAAAATGGGGTCCTGTGACACCAATGAAGGGGCACAATTCTTCTCAAAGACACCAACGATGGGGCACAATTCCTTCCCAATGACACCCATGACACCTGAATCACATGATATGGAGGCGATGGTGAACACCTGAATCACATGATATGGAGGGGATTGGAACACCTGAATCACATGATTTGGAGGGGATATGGAAACACCTGAATTCACATGATATGGAGGGGATTGGAACACCTGAATCACATGATATGGAGGGGATTGGAACACACTGAATCACATTATATAGAGGGGATTGGAGCACCTGAATCACATGATTGGGGGAGGGGGATTGGAACACCTGGAATAAACAATCAGATATATAGAGGGGATTGGAAAACACTCTGAAATCACATGATATGGTCGAGGGATTGGAACACCTGAATCACAGTTGATATAGAGGGTGATTGGAGCACCTGTGGAGCACATGATTTGGGAGGGGATTGGAACCACCTGAATTTCACATGATATGGAGGGGATTGGAACACCTGAAATCACATGTGATATGGAGGGGATTGGAACACCTGAATCACATGGATATAGAGGGGATTGGAGCACCTGAATCACATGATATATAGAGGGGATTGGAACACCTGAATCACATGATTTGGAGGGGATTGGTTAGCACCTGAATCACATAATTTGGATGGGATTGGAACACCTGATATCACTGATATAGAGAGGGATTGGAACACCTGAATCACATGGAGGGGATTGGAAACACATGAATCACCATGCTATAGTAGGGGATTGCGACACACCTGAATCTCACATGATATAGAGTGGGGATGGTGCACTCCTGAATCACATGATATGGAGGGGATTGGAACACCTGAATCACATGATCATGGAGGGGATTGGAACACCTGTGAATCACATGATATTGGAGGGGATTGGAGCATCACTGAATCAGCATGTATTGGTGGGGGGATTGGAACACAATGATTCACATGATATGGAGGGATTGGAACACCTGATCACATGATATTGGAGGGGTGATTTGGCAAACACCTGATCACATGATATAGAGGGGATTGGAGCAACTGAATCACATGATATGGAGGGATTGGAACACATGTAATCCCATGTTTTGGAGGGGACTTGGTGCACCTGAATCACATGATATGGAGGGGGATTGGAACAGCCTGAATCACAGATATGGGAGGGGATGTAAAAACCTGAATCCCCATGATATAGAGGGGGATTTGGGGCACCCCGAATCATTTGATATGGAGGGGTTTGGAAAAACCTTTAAACACGTGATTTTGGGGGGGTGGGGCCCAAAACTTTTTGGAATATAAATATAATATTGTCCCCTAGTCATGGGAGCCCTGGGTATTTTTTTTTTTTCGCTTCGGGCCTAACTTTTTAAGAAAAAAGATCCAAGGCTGAGTTAGGCCTTGCTCTCCAATAAAAAGAGAAATTGTATATTTTTTGCAGCTGATTCTATTTTTGGTGCCAGGGGGCGACCCGGCCCCAAATCCTTTGGGGCCCCCCCCCGGGAATAGGGATCATGGGGGTCCTGTGTCCCTTTTCCCCAAACTCAAAAAAAACCTTTTGAAAAAGGTACCAGGGGATCTCAAGGGGCCCCCCCAGTGAAACCCCGGGCCCTCCAAAGGGACGGCCCCAGTTTTTCCCAAAATGGTCAGTTTCCCCCCCTGATTGGTGCATAGGGGGGATGGAAATTTTGAAAAAAAAAAAAAAAGTGAACTTATCCTTTTAAAATTTCCCCCAAACCCTTTCCCCCCTCCGTAGCCCCCACCTGCAGAGTAAGCACCTCCCCCCCCCCCGCCTTATTTCATTTGCCCGGGCAAGGCGA